TTAGGGAGGGCCTCCTGGAAGAGGTGACGAGTTGGGGGCTGGGCATAGCGTAATCCAGGCAGAGGGAATTGCATCTGCAAAGGTTTGGAGGTGGGGAGAGCTCAGAGAGCCACAGACGGCTGGGCATAGAGTGCGCAGTGGGGAAGTTGTAGGTGAGGGAGGAACTGTGGGCAGGGGTCAGGTTCTGGGGAGCACGGAGCGCTGGGAACGGGGGATACGCTGAGACACGGTACCGAGGCATCCGGCTGCAGGGACAAGAACAGAAGCAAGCGATACTGATGAAAGCAGGGGGATGCCTTAGGCGGCTTTAAAATCACCCTCATAAGAGACGGTGGCCTGAATTAGGATTGGCCGAGTAGGAATGGAGAAGAAAGGATATTTTCAAGGATGGGAGCGCTGGTTCACACAGGATGAGCAGGGAGGGTCGCCCTGATGAGCAGAGGCTGAAAGGAGTGAAGGAGTGAACTGGGGATATCGGAAGAGGGTTGCGGGTAGTCGGAACAGCAGTGCAAAGGCCCCGAGGCAGGATCTTATTCGCATTTCTCCACTGAGATGTGACTAAGACTTGGACAGCTGCACGTCTGAGGCGTGACTCACTGGAGAGGGTCAGAGCGTGGGTTTTGTGATCCCGTCCGTTTGCTTACTCAACAAGTCCGTGCTAGGTGCTGGTTAGCACTGCAGAGGGAGCACCCCTGTGCACGAAGACCTTACAGCCTTCAGAGGGAGACAGATCTGTCAGCGGGTAACCGAGTGTGATTGGAATCAGCCCCGAGAGGCCTAGGAGCAGAGAAGAGAGGAACCAGCCAGGCTGTGGAGTTAGGGAGGGCCTCCTGGAAGAGGTGACGAGTTGGGGGCTGGGCATAGCGTAATCCAGGCAGAGGGAATTGCATCTGCAAAGGTTTGGAGGTGGGGAGAGCTCAGAGAGCCACAGACGGCTGGGCATAGAGTGCGCAGTGGGGAAGTTGTAGGTGAGGGAGGAACTGTGGGCAGGGGTCAGGTTCTGGGGAGCACGGAGCGCTGGGAACGGGGGATACGCTGAGACACGGTACCGAGGCATCCGGCTGCAGGGACAAGAACAGAAGCAAGCGATACTGATGAAAGCAGGGGGATGCCTTAGGCGGCTTTAAAATCACCCTCATAAGAGACGGTGGCCTGAATTAGGATTGGCCGAGTGGGAATGGAGAAGAAAGGATATTTTCAAGAAATATTTAAAAAGCAAGATTCGGTGATTATTGGAAATGAGGGCTGAGGGGGAAGGAAGGAGCTCAGACAGGAAGGGCCCGGCGTCCAGCATAGATGACTGGCAGGCGGTGGCACCTTTGCTTACTGCAGATGACACAGTGAGGAGGCAGCGATTGAGGGGGACTGATGAGTTCAGATTTGGACCTGCTGAGTCTGAGGGGCCTCACGCAGCTCAGCCCAAGCAGAGAGGTCCAGCGGGCAGGAGGGTAGAAGGATCAGGGGAGCAGCCAGAGCTGGGGATACAGATTTGGAACTCGCCAGCCTGTGGATGGTACTTGAAACATGAGATAATTTTGATACCTCCCAGGGAGAGTATATGGAATGACCAAAAAAAGGGACCCCCAGCATTCTTAGGGACAGCCAGAGAAAGAGGATCCTATAGCTACAGAGCAGAAATCTCCAAATAGGTACAGGAGAATCAAGAAAATACATGCGGAGTTGAGGAAGTTGGAGGAAGCAGCAAACACATGCGGTGGCAAAAAATCCCCACTGGACCTGGCCATGAGATGACTTCACAGGGAAGTTTCAGCCGCATGGTTGAGACTGGAATGGAGGGGTCAGAGAGGGATGGAGGAACGGACTCGGAAAAGGAGGACGATCGCATCACCAGAAGTTGGGAGATCAGGAGCGGGGGACAGAGGTGACTATTTACGTGTTTATAGGGGACAGAGCGAGGTGGGATGTTGGCCTAGATTTTCTTGGAACAGGACACAAGATGTCTGCTGAGAATGGTGGGGTGAGTGGGTGGCGATGGCTGCAGAGACCATGTAAGAGGGTGGAGAAGGTTAAGGGCGGCCGCTGGGAAGGTGGGTGAGCCCCGGCCAGCTGGACGGCTCAGTGGGCTGCGTTGCCGGCCCAGCTGTCCTAAGCTCCACATTTCAGGAACGTTTCTCCAAATGCACCAGGAGTGGAGAAGGTGGCTTGCAGCACCTTTTCTTCATCCGAGTTGAGGTTTTGCTAGAAGGTGTTACTGAGGCTAAGACCCCAGCACTCCCTCCCCCCAGTAGCCTTGATTCTTTGAAGAGTCCAGAAGTGACAGAAGAAAGGCGGTGGCCACGTGTTCTGCAGAAGCTCGGACTCTCGTTCTAACCCCATTACTTCCCACACCACGAAAGCCAGGTCCAAGCCTGGAGTTTAAAGTCCATGATCTCCTAAAGCCTCTTCTCGGTTCCACACCTTCTGATTTCTGGGCAGCCCCCCTGTCAAAGGGGGTTGGAGGAGAGGCTCTTCTGGTGCTTATTTTGTCCAGGGGCTTTCTCTGTCCTTTGTCGTTGTATAACTCACCATCACCAAATCGGCCATTTCCAAACCCTCAGCAATAAGTAGCTGAAGTTGGGTAGGTTCTACAGGCCAAGAGTGGGAGACACCCATCCCCTTTCCTAAATTGCTCGCTTTTTCTAACTGGCTGCAAGCCGAGTGGCTCCAGACAGAAGCAGAAGTGTTCTGGGCTGATTGCTAGGAACACAAGGTCCATCTGGAAATCCGATGGGCAAACAAGTGCCTGTTTGATGTCTCTCTCCTTCCCTTGGGCTGTTAAGCTTCCTTCTGAGTAGTGGTTTGGTTTCTGATAATGTATATGGCACCTCTGTACTGGTTTATTGTGAGGATTAAGTGCGTGCAGTAATTGTTACAAAGCACAGAGCCGCCCAGCGCACGGGCCGTTCAGCATTCCTGCTGCTGTTTACAGAGGGGCGTTCGCATGACGGCGAGACGCTGGCAGGTTTACATTATGGGGAGGGGGGACAAAGGGCCTTTCTTTCGCCATCTTTTGCACTAAAGCGGTGATCTCACCCACACCCAGCAAGCCTAGTGCATCCCTGGAGATGAACTCCGGTCATACCTCAGCACCAATCGCCGAGAGCCACATGGGTGGGAAATTGCCATAAAAAGACAGCCCACAGCAGGCCGTGTTCCCATGGCAGAGGAGGAGGAGGGGACACTCTGTGTTCTCATCCTGAGGTAGGTCATGCTCTGAGCCCCAGCAGTTCTCCTAACCCTGGGGGGCTCCCCCTCTCAACCCACTGGACTTTCTAGGGTTGTATGTTTCTGGAAACTTTCAGAACCCAGCAAATTCTCTGGACTCTGGCCATTGTCAAGTTCTCCTGATATCTCTCTATGTCCAGCTCGGTCATGACTCTGTCACCTGCGGGCTTCTCCAGGCCTGCAGATGCCACCCTCACCCTTGCCCTGGACACCCCTATGAGGAGGACAGGTGTCTACTCAGGATCTCATCTCTAAGAATTACCAGTCCTGGGTGCTCCCACGTTCCTGCTCTCTCACAGCGTATNTCTCATCTCTAAGAATTACCAGTCCTGGGTGCTCCCACGTTCCTGCTCTCTCACAGCGTATTTAGGATATCCCTTCTAGAAACAGATCTCTATGTTCAACTGGAGTCTTCCAGAAGCTGTACAGAGTCACCCAAAGATTTGCCCATTGAGGGAAAGAGTTGCCCAGAGAGTCAGTGTCATGTGAGCGTCACAGGCTTCTCACGGCTTTCTTCTACCCACTCCCCATGAACTTATCCATTCATCCCTAAACCTTTACTGAGCACCCGTGTGTGTCAGACTCTGTGCTAGGAGTGAGGGACCTGGGACCCAGTCTGATCTGCTTCCACCCTCACGGAAGTGTCATAGGGGACACTTCAGGGGGTTCTTAGTAGTACCTGAAGCATAAAGCTGAGAAAGGGCACCCATTAACCTTGTCTGCAGATATCCACAGGCACTATATAACCCTTTCCCTCCGTCCAGTCTCCAGAGAACAGGGATCATCCTGAGACCCTTCTAGGACATTCTGCAGTATCGGCTGGATCTGAGCTTGCCTTTGGTTTTCTTACGGTCAACTTCATCCCCTTGGCAAGTATCTTACTCCTATCACTCCCACCTACTTTCTGCAAGTCGGGCCTGCTTTAAAACAATACACCCCTTCGTGAAGGAAGCCAACAGTTCTGTTTCTGAGAACACAGCCTGTGGCCATAAGCAAGCTTTTTAGCTTCCAGCACAGTGCTTGTCCATATGAGGGGCTCA